TGATTTGAAACAACTTTTTCCTTAGCGAAAATGTTGTCCGAGGCTTCATTAAGGCGATATCAACAGAAAACCCTCGACCAATCAGAGCGCGACGATGCTGGTGGAGGGCGGTAGCCTACGCCTACCGCGGCCTACTCGCGCTCTGATTGGTCCGGGGTTTTCTGTTAATAACTCCTTAGCGAAGCCTCGGAGAACATTTTCGCTAAGGAAAAAGTTGTTTCAAATCACCTCCCGAACCACATATTCAAGGATTTCCAAAATTTTTGTAACACCCTGTATATCCAATGATCAAGCTTCTCTTCCATTTCTAGACAAAGGTGTTAGCTAATTATAGATGATATCACCGTAGTCAATCATGTATTATACATACATAATCAATTTGTGATTGTGGATTAATTTAAACAATCTGGAGTGAGCGATTAGGTTCTGTTAGAACATTTAATGAAATGTTCGTTTTTATAGTTCAGAGAATGTTTTCTCGTGAAAACATCTAACAAGTCTGCTTATCATTCAGTTGGAATATAAAATAATTCATGGACAAATTCATCACTAATATCCTTTTTGAAAAATATATGAGATTCGTACTGTAAATAGTCGACGCAAAATATATTTGTAACCATTACCCGTTAACAAAACTATGACAGAACGTTCTCAGAACATTCGTTCATCGAATCCGTAGACTCTAATGCCGCAACCAGTCCTCCATTATTCGAGACTGTCAGTTTCATCCAATTCGTGATTGTAACCAGAGAGAAATCAGGGCGAAATTTCCATTCCCTTTTGCGTATTTCGATTGAAGTGACGCTTGATTAACGCAAACTAATGCGATTCTCGTCGCCACGTGTCGAGTCACGTTAACGGTACGTACCTAGAAGCCTCCCAAACAATGTGTCCGAAACATGATCGTTTGAAATGGCTTTGCTTTTAGCCGACTTCTGTCACACGGACGAGAAGGAAGGTAACGACTAATCGAACGATTGAAAACAATTTACGAAGCAACACTCGTTATCTTGATTTTTTTTTTCCATTACGAAGCTTTGTTTTTTACTTGGCGTCACTTGGTGAACTCTTGCGGATCGTTTCTTTTGTCACGCTCAGCGTCACGTTACCTTTACTTTCGAGCGTAAAGCATCGATATTACCGATGTATCGAGCGCACGCAATCCCGTTTACACTTTCGGTGTTTTATCGTACTCGTTGTGTTTTTTTTTTTTTATGTACTTTTGGTTAGCTTCAGTAGCGCTGCTTTTAGTGATCAGTAGATACAAACGCTGACCTGCTTTCCATCTAAAAAGACAAATCAATTTCTTTGGGATTTTTAGAGTGGCAAGAAAAGGGAAAAACGAAAATTTAAAGCGAAAATATGAATTATTTTGTCCTTTTTTTTTAATTTCTTTTGCGATTTTTGGATTAAAATATTGATGTAGCTTTTTACACATTTGTGATTGGAAAAAAGAAGAAGATTTCAAAATACGTATTTCTTAACCTGTTCACGAGTAAAAATAATAACATAAAAATATGTTCAGATTCCGATTTCACTGAAAAATAAAACAATATTATAAAATATACATAATATATTTCTTAACTTATTAAATAAGTATAATAATAGAATTTCTTATTAGTATTATTTCTTGTGTAATAAAATATGTAACAAAATATATAAACAATATATGTATATAATATATATATATATAAAATGCTTGTTTATGTGTATTTCCCAGAAATGCTTATTCAGGAAACAGTTAAAAAAAAGTATTGATTATCTTCTCTTCCATTTACATGTATTTCATGTACTTATTTTGAATAGATAAACAAAAATAATTTACAACACAACTGTGCTCTTGTTCCAAATTACAGATTTATGAATATTACTTTGTAAAATCAATCAATTTTTAATAATTATGTAGATAAATATATTATGACATGATAATAGTACAAAACACATGATGAAATAAATAATTTACTCGCATTCAACGAAAACGATTTTATTATCAGTTATACGTTGTGCATTTAAATAAATATATTTATTTTGTGAATTATTTAAAAGTTAATTAAAAATACTGCCATGGTACGTATGTTTTTTCAGATGGAAAGTAGCAATCGAGTACATCATTCAGTTGTGTTTATCTTTATTTTGAAACCATTTTAACCTCATACGATTAGTGCATATATTAACATTATATTCAATTCTATGTTTCTAGTGGTGGGACGAGGTCATGGACATATTTGATGGGGTACGCTATTTTTATACTTAATCGTAGTTGTGTAAGGACCAACTCTACTTTTTCTTCTCGATACTTCTTTTCTATAAATTCCTATCCACTGTCAATTTCCTTCTCTATTCTTTCAATTGATAATGTACTCGAGTCTACGAATGGAAAGTGATAGTTCATGACCAAATTGTCCTTTCATCATTTTTAATTATGCTGAAAAACAATAATAAGAAAGTAAGATTAACTTCGTCGTATTTAAATACGACATTTTACATTTGTATTTATATTTGAATTCGTCAACTATCTTATTAATTAAGATATGTCACGTCAGTATCTCTTGACACTTGATTCATCCAAAATTAAAGCACGTAAATATTTAATCGTTAATAAAGTCATTAATAAGAATCAATTATCAGAAATGCAATTAATACGTGTATTAATATTATACTTGCAAATCATTCGTTTATTTACATTATTTAACGGTATTTATATTCTTTCAATATTTCTGTAAATCTCGTACTGGACCACAATAATGGACATAGGCATATGGAAGTATTTATATTTTTAGTTAGTGTATTATTAAATCAAAATATTCGATTACTTTTGTTGAAACTGGGCACAGCATTCATTTTGTGCAAATTATCTATTTGCTTTTCAGAAACAGACACAGTTACACAATTCAGAGATTTGACTACATCTTTATATTACAAGTTTTAAATGTTATCATAACATTTTTGTATTTGCTGCTTTATGATACAACTACAAAAAGACTTTTTCGTTTTGTAACCGACTTTGAAAAGGAGGAGATTACTCATTTCGAAATATTATTTTTTTTTTATTTGTTTTTTGTGTCTATTATGTCCCCATTTGGAAACATTTCTGAATTTCTTAATGTTTCTAATTATTGTTAATGCAAAATTTCTATTTTTTGATGTAACACGGCAAGGAATTTACCAAATGCGATTAATTCTTTCACATTTAGTTGCACATGTATTCTTGATGATCCCACTTGCAACTATACAAGGTGTCACAAAAATTTTGGAGGCCCTCGAAAGGGGTGATTCAAAACAACTTTTTCTTTAGCGAAAATGTTGTCCGAGGCTTCGTTAAGGAGATATTAACAGAAAACGCCGGACCAATCAGAGCGCGAGTGTGCCGGCGGAGGGCGGTCGCCTAGCGCGTAGCCTACGCCTACCGCGGGCGCTACTCACGCTCTGATTGGTCCACGGTTTTCTCTAAATATCTCCTTAACGAAGCCTCGTATAACATTTTCGCTAAGGAAAAAATTGCTTCAAATCACCTCTACTCTGTACATATAGGGTGTTCCAAAAATGTTGTAACACCTTGAAAGGGATGGTTTGGGAGGTGATTTGAAACAACTTTTTCCTTAGCGAAAATGTTGTCAGAGGCTTCGTTAAAGAGATATTCAGAGAAAACCATGGACCAATCAGAGCGCAAGGATGGCAGTGGAGCGCCCGCGGTAGGCGTGGGTTACGCGCTCGACGACCGCCCTCCGCCGTCTGATTGGTCCGGGTTTATCTCTAAATATATCCTTAACGAAGCCTCGGACGACATTTTCGCTAAGAAAAAAGTTGTTTCAAATCACCGTCCGAATCACGTCATTCAAGGACTCCAATAATTTTCGGACGTCATGTATAATGAATTAAATTCAAATTCTAAGTAACCAAACATATATTTATAAAATTGTACAACTTTCTACTTGCACTATAGTATTTATAATTAAATACTAGGTGAGTGTCGTTTTTGCAATTTTAAATACTTGTTTATCACTCATCAGCTCGTTGATTTTTATCGATATGGCATTGAAAATTTGCACACTAAATGGCAAAAGGCTGTTGATAACAAAGACGATTATGTAATTGAATAAAAATAGAAATTGATTAAAAATTTGTTTGAATTTAATATAAAAGAAACGACATTACTTTCAATTCTACCTAATATATCGTTGTAGTGTTAAAATAAAATTGTAACTCGTATAAAACTTGTCGACACAATTCTACACTAGTGTTTCGTCGCAATTTACTGCAAGTAGAAAGTTGTATAATTTTATAAATATATATTTGGTTACTCAGAATTTGAATTTAATTCATTATACATGGCGTCCCAAAAATGTTAGAGGTTCTTGAAAGGGGTGATTCAGGAGGTGATTTGAAACAACTTTTTCCTTAGCGAAAATGTCGTACGAGGCTTCGTTAAGGAGATATTAGCAGAAAACCCCGGGCCAATCAGATCGCGAATGTGCCGGCGGAAGGCGGTCGCCTAGCGCGTAGCCTACGCCTACCGCGGGCGCTACTCACGCTCTGGTTGGTCCATGGTTTTCTCTAAATATCTCCTTAACGAAGCCTCGTATAACATTTTTGCTAAGGAAAAAATTGCTTCAAATCACCTCCACTCTGTACATACAGGGTGTTCCAAAAATGTTGTAATACCTTGAGAGGGATGATTTGGGAGGTGATTTGAAACAACTTTTTCCTTAGCGAAAATGTTGTGAGAGGCTTCGTTAAAGAGATATTCAGAGAAAACCCCGGACCAATCAGAGCGCGAATGTGCCGGTGGAAGGCGGTCACCTAGCGCGTAGCCTACGCCTACCGCGGGCGCTCCTCGCGCTCTGATTGGTCCAGGGTTTTCTCTAAATATCTCTTTAACGAAGCCTCTGACAACATTTTCGCTAAGGAAAAAGTTGTTTCAAATCACCTCTTGAACCCCTTCCAAGAACCTCCAAAAATTTTGGGACTCCCTGTATTGAATCTATTTCGACAATACATAACCTCGACGTGGCGCATGCAGACGAAAATAAAGAATCTCTCAACACTATAAATACTCACGCACACAACTTTAATATATACAGCCAGTAGATTCCTTGCAACAACCTGAATCGCTAAAGCACAATAATAAATACACCCATAAGTATATGTCCACCATTTCATAATTCATAATTAATCTAACAGAGTACTCGTCGGTCTACAATAACGCCCCAAACATTGACTTTCCGTGTGTCACGCCTCCGTGCACCTAATCGCACGTATCGTGCCACGCATGTCTTCCCTGTTTCCAAACGCCCCTCCCCCAAACCCTTTTGTCCCAGCCCAATTCTCTCCAAAGATAACCCGACGAGTACCGACCGTATTGTCTCGGCGATCACTATATCAATCGTGTCCAACCCCCTTTAACCCACACGTTCTCGTGATCGATGTCCCGTGTGTGTGTGTATGTGTGTGTGTGTATCTTTGGTGTTTGCGTATCGTGTCCGCTCGTGTGTACCTCCGACGCTTCCGGATCACATCCCCCCTGGTCCTCGGACGCCGCCTGCCGACAACCACGACAATAACAACGACAACCCGACAGTGGTTGAACGAGAATGGACGTCCTCAGGGTACGGGGATGGAGGAGCTGAGGAACGCGCAGCTGAGCCACCGTGTTCTAAGCCTCTCCTACCGACCGGAAACTAGTCGCAATGTAAGAGTATCAGAGGTCAGCAGCACGAAAACCGTCGAGATTGTCCCAAAGTCGCGTCGAACCGGGAATGAGCGATCTCCGCGCGAAACGAAACCGAAGCAGTGGTCGAGCATGAGCCTGGTCGATTATCCGGGATCGGTTAACCTCGATCGCTCGAACGAGAGAACGATTGAGGCGTCGAGAACCGGCAACAGCGCGCCAAACGATCGGATCGTGCGACCCCTCGAACGGGCTGCGGACTGCGTATGGCACGCCGGCATGCTGGAAGGAAGGTCCAAGAGCTTCGTGCTGCCGGACAGTTGCTCGGCTCGATCGGTAACGCCGAACAGCGACAGATCGATCCCTGCACGATCGACCCTCCTGCAGGCGACCGCCGACGAGCAGCAACGGCACCGTCACCATCACCACCATCACCACCACCATCATCATCACCATCACCAACGCGCCTCGCCCACTTCTTCTTCTTCTACGTCTTCTTCTATTTCCAGCACCAATCATATTATGCTACAATCGCCATTATCGACGACACCCTCTGTTATCACCGCCAACGCTCAGCCGTCGGCAACACGGGTTAGAGGATGCAACATCGTCGACAAGTAGAGTGCACGATGACGTTCGCCCTCTATCGCTCTGTCTGTTGGTTCCTGCGCGATGTTCGTAGCGAATTTTAGCGTGGTTATTGAAAGGGATTGTAATAACAATCACGATAGTGTTTTAACAAACACAATAGTGAGAGAATGTAGGTTCGGTCGGTAACGTATCACGACTGACGAGGAAACGTCGGTAAGCGATACACTCTGATTTTTAACCGACTTCAAAAAGGAAGAAGTTACTCAATTCAACTTTTTTTTTTTTTTTTTTTAAATTGGTATACTTATTCGTAGGACCTTTCAATAAGGAGGACCATTCTTAGTTCGTGGTAATTTTGCGTGTCAAGGGAGAAAATACCCTTTTAGTCCGAGTTATAAGCCTCCCCTTTTACTTTTGCGCTTATAACTCGAAGATCATAAGAGATACAAAAAAAATGTTCAAGTAAACATTGAACTGTTTTTAGCGACCTTATAAACCAATATCGACAAATTTTCAACAAAAATGTTTTTTTTTTTTTTTTTTTCAAAAATTACCCACCCTCCTTCAATATTTTTGGAAAATTATGATTTATTTCTGTATCAGTGAAAGCGTTTATTTATGTTTTGGAAATGATGTAATATTGTAAAATTGTCGCTCTAATAGGCGATATTTCGAATTTTTTAGGAATTTTTTTCTCATAAATAAGTAAAGTTGCTCCTATATATTATTTAACAAAATATGCTTTATTTTGGCCGAGGATGTGAAAAATAATTTTTAAAGACAATCTTAGCTGCCACTTCTTCTTCTTCTTATATTTCCAGCACCAATCATATTATGCTACTTAGCTTTTACTTTTGCGCTTATAACTCGGAAATGATAAGAAATATCGAAAAAAACTTGAATACAAATTTTAATGGTTTTTAATATTCTATAACACTGTAGTAACAAAATTAAAAAAAACGTATTTTTAATGATATTTCCCCCACCATGAAATTTTTCGCCACTCGCTGTATAAAAATTGTGCTCGCAGTTTTTTGGACGTTTTCATACTGAACAACTTTCGTCTAATCAATTTTGTTCTAGCTGTTACCAAATTCAGGTTACTGGGCAATATAGATTTTCGATCAAAATTCTCGATTAAAATTTGAAAAAATCATAACTTTTGATAAGGTAGACGGATTTTAATGACCAAACCGGGAAAATGCGCGTCTTTATACGAAGAATTAGTAAAAAATATAAAACAATCGAAACAGTCACTTGTTTAGTTTTGTTTTTACGGAAAAATATGTAAAAAGAGGCCAGATCTTAACAAATTCGTAGTTCTTAATAATGAACATTTTTTATTGAAACTTTTTTTCCTTGTAGATCTCATAGAACTCTACAAAAAACATATACAGACTTTTTTTCTAAAATGAAAGTACAATTTTTTAAAAATAAAAGAATGTTTTTTTTTTAAGATTTCGCAACGGTTGCCCTTTAAGTTTGGTCAAAATCTAACATTGTCTATAAAAATTATTTTTCACATCTTCGTTCACAACGAAGCATGCTTTGTTAAATAATATATATACGAGCGACTTATATTATGTATGAGAAAAAAATTTCTAAAGAATTCGAAATATCGCCTATTAGAGCGACAATTTTACAATATTACATCATTTCCAAGTATGATAACCATAAATTCATACATATCGTTGGATTCAGAATAAAAAAAAACTCTTTTACTGATATAGAAATAAATCATAATTTTAAACAATTTGGAGACGGGAGTCAGTTTTTGAAAAAAAATTTTTTTTTTAAGTTTGTTGATACTGCCTTATAGACCTCTAAAAACAGTGCAATGTTTATTTGAACGTTTTTTTTTATATCTCTTATGGTCTCCGAGTTATAAGCACAAAAGTAAAAAGAGGGCTTATAACTCGGACAAAAAAGGTAGTTCTCCCTTGGAACGCAAAAGTGGCACGAATTGAAGATGGCGCACTTCATTGGAAGGTTCCACAAACAAGTACACCAAGTTTCATAAAAATCGGAGTGTATCACTCACCGATGTTTCCTTGTGAGTGTCCCTGATTGAATTCTTCAAGGTCAATTCTTCAGTTCTTCGTCAAGGTCACAAGACTCGCTCATTTACTTGTCAAAAAATAATTACTTCTACCTTTGCGTTGCACCATGGGGTATTATACACTATTCCATTAAATACCTATAATACTGTCACGTATAGGATAACTCGATTTATTTTTCCCTAGTTGCTATATTTCATTGTTCTAAATGCGACGCGTATAAGTTTTCTAATACCATTTGGTGCTAAGCTGAATCCTCTTCAGACGCAGGTCAAACTTTGGTTCTGTTAGCAAGTCTTCGTTCAGCTTACTTCAAGAACCTCTGAATTTCAAAATAGAATGTTCTTAATCACCTGTTACTAGAGTGCTGTTAATTATGGAAATTCATATTTGGATAGATGTAGATAAAGAATTGAAACTTAACCTTATGACGGATATTGTCGTTACCTACTGTTATAAAACCTTTTACAATTGAAAAATGTAGGGTGTCCCATAAATGTTGGAAGTCCTCGAAGGAGGGGGTTCGAGAGGTGATTTGAAACGACTTTTTCCTTAGCGAAAATGTTGTCCGAGGCTTCGTTAAGGAGATATTAACAGAAAACCCCGGACCAATTAGAGCGCGCGTATTGCGGCGGAGGGCGGTCGCCTAGCGCGTAGGCTACGCCTACCGCGGACGGCCCACCAGCATCCTCGCGCTCTGATTGGTCCGGCGTTTTCTGTTAATATCTCCTTAACG